GTAAAAATTAAAAGATAATAAACAATTACCCTAGATTAATTATACCTACAGCAACCTAAGGACAATACACCTTGTTTTGCTGATTAATAGTACTATCATGCGTTGCTGGTGGCGTAGGTTTGATTTTGTACGATCTCGTAAAAATCGTTCGCTGAGCCTTTTTAATGTGATGGACGATGGACTTGTATTTTCGACTTTTTATAATCCAAAAGAAGTCGAAGTACCTGGATCTATTGCCGTGAGGCTGCCAGCCCTTTTTTTAAAAAAAAGGAAAAAGATAAACTTGTCCCCGAAAAATAAATAAAAATAAAAATAAAAAAAAACTAAAAAATTCCTCTATTAATCTAAAAATTGTATATTGAAAAAAACGTCCAAAATAAGCCACTATAATTAGGGTCGATACATAATAATGACCCTCTATCGAATGATGTTCATGTATTCTTCTCTTGCACTATGTTCTTCTTCCCCACACTAAACCCAGATCACTCTCCCATCCCCCATCTCTCCCTTGAAGCTATCCTCCCGACCAAGCCCCTTCCCATGACGCTTCACCCCCTCCCCGTGACCGCCTATAAAAAAAAAACCCTCTCTCCGCCAATTGCCTTCCCGCCACAAACCTTCCCTTGCAACCCCATGAAAATTTAGCAATGATAGTCATATCACTAGAGCAATAAGCACAATAACGATGTCCCACCGCCTGATCGTTTTTATACATAGGTTCTAGAATTGATCTCTTCTGCTCTACATCACTTCCGAAATTCCTCCATTAAATTGATTCACTGTACACCACCTTCAAAAAGGACCATTAACAACATACCGACACATCTGTTTTACATTCAATGTTCGACCGTAAAAAACAATGAGCAATCGCTCATTTGATTATCCTCGCCGATACTAGTTATCGATACGTTTATCAACACCTTACCGTATCTGGGTTTAAAAATATTAGCACTCTCTCGCTCTCCCTCTCCCTTCACAACCCTTACCCCACCATGATATGCTCCTCCCCCGCCCCCAAACACGACTTGTTGCCTTAATGATGTCCTGAATGGTAGTAGCAATTAATTGTATATAAACTTGTTGATTGGCTTATGACTAAAAATACGATAAAAAAATGAAAAATAAAAAATAGAAACATATGTGTATCATGTACCGTTTTTTTTCATATGAAAACTTCAGCAATGATAACAGAACTGGCCGAGTGAAACCAGTAAGCATACAACATGTTACCCTTTGGCTCAGTAAAAAATAAAAAAAATCAAAAAATAAAAAAATTAAAAATTAAAAATTAAAAATAAAAGATAAAAAGAGTAAAAAATTATACCCTTGATTAATTACACCTGCAGCAACCTAAGCATAATACACTTTGTTTGCTGATGAATAGTACTATTATGTGATGCTGATGCCATTGGTTTGATTTTCTTGTTATATGATGTCGTTAAATTTCGTTCGCTGAGTGCTTTCGCATGATGTGATGAACGATGGACTCGTATTTTCGACTTTTTAAGTTTTTATCCAAAAACAGCCGAAGTACCTTGATCAATTACCGTGAGGCTGACAGTATTCTTTTTTTTTTTTTTTTTTTTTAAATAGATGCTGACCCTTGCTGCAAAATATAAAACAAAAAATAAAAAATTAAAATTAAAAAATTAAAGAATTAAAGTTAAAAATTGTTCTTAAAAAAACAGAACTGTATATTACGTAAAAATGCCCAACATAAGCCACTTTTATTAGGGCCGACAGATATTAATGACCCTCCATCGAATGATGTTCATGTTTTCTGCATCACGCTGGCAGCGCATGCCATTATATAGGGATATACGCAAGTATACATACGTACATATATGTATAAAATCGAATGAAAAGGAATAGAATAATACGAACCAAAAAATAATAAAAGAGCAACTTCAAGTAGAATAGATTGTACACACATTCACACACGAAATTGTTTTTACCACCCACAACCCCCACCCTCCCAAAAAAACTTCCACAAAAAGTTGCACAAAAGAAATCTTCCATTTTGACTGTCTGAGACAAAACTAAGAACCAAATCCGGATGTCGTACGGACTTAAAGTACGTGCACCTACCCCTCCTAGACACAATCATTCCAATGACAGTTCTCGTAGCATCGCTGGACCAAGTACAAATATAAAACTTCCCTCCACCCTATGATTTTACGACCATACTGCACGTTCCTTACGCTGACTAACCACACCAGGTAATGAGCAATACGACTTCACAAAGAATGAACATCGAAAACCAAGTGATATACTAACAACCACCTCTATCATACCCATAACAACAAGACCCCCAATCCTGAAAGTACTCTGAATGATACATCCTAAACACTTGCGGTATCTAAACACTCCGCCCAATGATCAAGATACACAGTTGATACCAACACTACCAGTTATAACCATCCCCAATGCGTAACACTCCACGCATMCCCCGCCGCTCCTGTAAAGGTGCCTGGAGAATGGCCTCCCACTCAACAAAATCCACCTGCCTATCCCCATGCTCCTGTAGCAAGTCGCTTGTTACCAGCTCCACCATCTCCTCGACCACATCAACCCCACCACTTGGAGCCGCATTAGGATCATCTCCAGAAACCTTGGTCACAAAAACGGTAACTTCGCACAATAAGTCTTCACAGTACCCCAACCCTACGCACAGTTCAAGTGCCAACGCCCTGTTTGCCATTACCCGATAATGGCGAACATACGAACTCGCCACCCGATTGCTATACCTAAAATYCAACCCCTTCCCGTCGCCGCGACGATGACGTAGCTCATGAATCACTATCGCTCGGCCGCACACCTCCCCGACATAAGTAGTAATGATATCCATGACTCCCTGCAACACTAACCCAGCAAATAGACGAGCCACGTCAACTGCCCCAAAAAAACCTGCTATCCCATGCACCCACCTCGCCAATAGCAAACCTGGACACATGTGAGAATACGCACCAAAAGCAATCCCCTCCAGCACTAAGAAACCAATCCTCTCCCTATAACTCCCCTACTGACATCCGGAATCACAAAGATTAACGAGTCACCCTAAACGTTGGTTTCGTGACAATCTGAGCAACCACCCTCACTCTCCTCGCCCAAAAATGCGTGTGCCTACACAACCTCGATTACATGAGGGACCAGCCTATAGACACTCCCCTCCCACTATAACTCTGTCGTCTCTCATTTCTATCACTGGTTCAGATCAACACACCGACAAGAAAGCCAAAAACTGCGTTTGCCTGAACAAAACGCCAGCAGCGCTACATGCAATCTCCAACCCAAGACCACAACTATTTATAGTTGCTCACACTGAATAACAAAGCAGCCTTTCCCCAAAAACCAACCAACAGATAATGCTGCTATTCATCTAAAATACTATTAACAGCAATTACCAGACAAAATAAACACCCCTCCATCCTTAATTGATAAAAACTCGCCCACCCCGCCCACCACGAATAATAGCCCACTAATTCCTAGGACACCATATCCAAAAAATAATAAAGAAATAAAAATAAAATAGAAAATAAACGTTATATGGAGGTCTGACAGACCTGGTAAAAGCCCGACGATTAGTCCTTCCCTCGATGTTGAACGAAACAACCAACGACTGAATAATACCTATAGCACTGCATGCTACGAAATACTTACCCCGCGAAAAATTCTTTTTTCTAAACCGTCCCTCTGGCCCTGTTGTCTACACAATAATAACTAATCAATTAAGAAAATAAAACAAAAAAACATATAAACAAAAAAACATTAAATACTACACTTCTGAATAGCCACCCGGAACACCGCATACCGCAACCATGAGACCCGCCTAGGACCGCCAAACATGCCCCCAAACGGATCTCTGAAACAATACTCACTGAGACCCTGGAACGCCACAAACTACAAATTATACCATGACGTCTCACTCCTCACATGTACCCGACAAGAAAATACCCCTCCACCCTCAATCGTTAACGAAACAGGTCCACCCCACCCGCCATGAATAACAGCCCACCAACCCCTAAGATATTGTGGCCATAAAAATAAACAAAAATAAAAAAATAAAAAAATAAAAAAATAAAAAATAAAAAATAAAAAATAAAAATAAATACTTTTAGGATAAAACGGTAAACGTTGTAAAAAACCAGGCAACAATTCTCTGCCTCGACGCTTTACAAAACAGCGAAGCCTGAATGACTCCCTGGAACGTTGCATACTGCAACTACGTACCATATCAAAAACTTAATCCCCCCAAATTCAAAAAAAAAAAAAAGGAGGACCAATACTACTGCTTTTTGTTTCTCTATGAAATAACAATAAAAAATAAAAAATAAAAAATAAACATAAAAAATAAAAAATAAAAAAATAAAAATAAACATAAATGAAAAGATAAAAAGTTAAAGATTAAAACAACAATCTTTATAGAAAAGCTATTGAAATGGCTCCTCGAAACAGTGCATACCACGACTACGTGACTAGCTAAGTACCCCTGAATATGCTCCCAAACGGTTCTCTGACTGAGACCCGGGAACATAGCAAATGATACCATAGAATACCTCTGGCCTAGAAACCCGTTAAAATTAAAAATAAAAAAATAAAAAATCAAGAACAAAAGTAAATAATTTATAATTTTTCTATTTTTTTTTTCCCCTTCTCCCTTCTGTATAGTAAAAACAATTCCCTTGGATAAGCATAAATAAATTATATAGCATAACCAGAACAAAACTGAATCCACCAGCTATGCCTACCAATAGAAGCCACTCTGACTGCTGTGTCGATATAACCAGCTTAATACCCTAGTACACAACAAGAAGCACTAAAAGATTACGAAACCCCATCGCCTGCATGTGCATGTGCAGGATCAAGACAGTATCCAAATGGGATGGCATCAAGAACTGGTCACATGTATTAGACCGTTCTCCATGCTCAGACCTCCCATCGTAAACTGTCAGATAGCCATGCTGGATATCCCTGACGAAGTACTACTGTAAGTGCATGAAGCTACCAACGGACAGACCCCCTTCCTGATAGAGAACTTGTCTTTCAGTGACAGGGTGACCCTGGTTTCGGTCATGCAAACCAGACCCCAGGAACTACCTGACAAGATCAAAGAGCTCGCCACCAACATCCTGGAGGTCTGCAGAAAGTCAGCCATTGAGAACAGAGAGATTAGCCTCATCATCTCCAAGGCCGAAAATGTCATTCTCAACCTCCATGGCTATGATACCTCACATCTGGACAGCGCAGGACAAATCTCCACAAGCGATGCTGGTGACACGTTCATCAATACATACATTAGCAGCATCGCACTCACTCCTGCAGAGCTAGAATACTTCCAAAAGAGGGAGGTAATTCGAAGGGAGTCTGCCCACATCGACATCTCCACTACGGCTAGAGGCACGACCTACACGTTCGGAAAGAATAGCTCGTTCTTGCTTCTGGCATCGAGTACCTGGACGGAGAAGGCTGTACAGCGTGTCCATAACCGCCTATGGAAGCTGGACTCCTTCAATTACACAACACCTATTAGTGTCGACGCATACATGGCGCTGGCAGGGCTTACCAATGCAGACATAGACAACTGCCGCACCGCTGCCAGGAATGCTACTATATACTTCCCTGCCGAAAGAGCTGGCCTTGATGCAGATTTCCCCCCAATTTCCAATTTGGAGAAGGGGAAATGTACCAAGAGGCCGCTGCTGCACCAGAAGGGGATTCCGAAGTTCCCAGCAGACCTACAAGAATTGAAGAAGATGTGGAATGCGGGAAGACCCTTCCTCAAGTGCCCCTGTCCTGGTTGTGAGATAAACTTCACATGGGTGGACCACATGCTCTGATACGTGATCGGCAACCTTGACAAGCTGGACCCGCAAGCACCGTCCGACAAGATCAGGATGTTAGAATTCCAGGCACTGCTGCAAACTTCTTGGAAGAGGCCAATCCTGGCACGGATCACATTCATCTTCATGAGAGAATACATGATGAAGATCCTGCACCTCATCACATAAAACAAAGCCATCACCGCCGAAGAAATCATCAGCTTTGAAGACTTCAAGGATGTGCCGTTCGTTCAGAAGTTCACAGCCGCGCTGCTCCCTAACGCAGAAGGGCTGCTTGCACAAGCTCCGGGCAGAAGAGGCAATGTCATCGATGCTGAAGACAACTCGCTGCGCAGATGTCGACAGATGCGACTTGGCACCCCACGCACTCACTCCCCTATCACATGCACGCCACCCACTTACACCCCACAGCAAATACAGACACCAAGAACCGGCGCAACAGCAACTAGCACACCAGCACAACCCCCTGCCTCCCCTACTCCCTGCTCCCGAGCACGTGCGGAAACCACTGAGGCACCACGTACCACGCCTTCTCAACACAGACTGTGCCAATATCCCACCCCCACACCCAACACCCTGATGCATCATACTGGGCAACCAACTACTACACCTGCACAACAGAACAACCACAGCATGGCACTGAGGCCGCAAGACCCACCGCAAAATGCGAACCCCCGCCACCAACTGCATGCAAATGCACACGCTTGTGCACAACCGCTCCCCAACCTAACAGTACCGAGCCAGCTCCCTACAACCACCCAAACGGCACCACAACAGCAGAGCAATGCTTTCACTTTTGCCGCAGCATAGCTTGCTGCCAGAAACACCCCGCCACTCACCACAAACACTAGCCCCTGTCTCTTATACACATCTAGATGTGTATAAGAGACAGGCACACGCTTGTGCACAACCGCTCCCCAACCTAACAGTACCGAGCCAGCTCCCTACAACCACCCAAACGGCACCACAACAGCAGAGCAATGCTTTCACTTTTGCCGTAGCATAGCTTGCTGCCAGAAACACCCCGCCACTCACCACAAACACTAGCCCATTCAGTCCATTCTTGACCACGCAAAGAAACACCAATGCCTGTCTCTTATACACATCTAGATGTGTATAAGAGACAGGTAATTGATCGCCCCCCCTCCCTTTTTTTTTTTTTTTTTTAGATCAGTTTACTGCTCCTCAGGTTCCCCTCCCCCCCCGTCCCCTTTTTTTTTTTTTTTTTTTTTTTTTTTTTTTTTTTTTTTTTTTTCCCCCCCCCCCCGTCCCCTTTTTTTTTTTTTTTTTTTTTTGAACTGAAAGGTTATTAAGGCTGTTGCTGCTGCTTGGTATAGTGGGTGACCTCTACAACCTACTGTAGCCTCCCTTCCTAAGATTCGTATTAGCACAATGGTTTTCTCCTTTCCTCCCCCTTTTTTTTGTTTTTTTTTGTTTTTTGTTAATATGCACTATTCCTTAGGTGATTTCATTTCATAGCTGCATTAGGGTGTGCTTAATGGGTTGGAATACAATGAACCCTGGTTGGTTAACAAACAGAAAGATCCTTTCGTCTTTGCTAGGATTTAATCTGATCTGCCAATTCAATCCTTGTTAATACCTGTTGGATAAGTCCGGATTCATTTTTTTTTATTTTTTTTTAGGATTACTGCGAAATGAATATACTACTCGACTCCTCTCTTGTTTTTTTTTTTTTTTTTTTTTTTTTAATGTCTTTGATTCCATTCTGCTGTCTACACAAAAATATCCCAGCGTTGGGATACTGCTGCCGGTGATTACTGGTAGGGGCCCCTTCCTGGTTTTGCTTGAGCCAAAGCTAAATTCATTAAGTTTTCTCCTCGCTTTTTTTTTTGTTTTTTTTTTACGAGTCAGAGATTTCATTAATCCATTGTGCTGGTTCCTCTTCCTAGAATGCTGCTTACCTTCTGATTGATTCTTCGAAATAGCGAGAATTTAAACCAATTTTTCAATGCAAAGATTCCACTTAACATAGTCAGTCGCACTTTAGACTAGAGCGAGTATTTAATCTCGCGAACGAGTAATTTTAAGATCTCGCTCCCCTGTTTCTTTCCGTCTTATCGGTTTAATATTATTATTGTTATTTTCTTGATCTTTTTTTTTTTCTTTTTTTTACTGAGAGGAGATTAGTTACTATTAATGAAACAGTTTTCACCTTTTGCGGTAGCAGATGCAGATTCTCAGGCTCGATCCCTAGCCCTCACCCTACCTATGTACAGTACCTGTGTAGACCCCGAGAGTTGAATCAGTGACCTGAGTATTCATAAACGGTTGGTAGGCTGTCATAGGTCCTTAGATGGTAGGGGTTCGATCGGTAGGTCTGTTGAATAGAAGTCTTAGTGAAGTCTAGAAGTCTTAGCTGTAGGTTTCTAGCAGGTCAGTAAGTGGGCAAGTAGTCAAGTGGTGAGCCAAGTGGTGGACTAGCTGCATCACGATCGCGGTACGACCTTGGTAGGTTTGCAGTGAGTCCCCATACAGTCAGCGGTGCAGTCCAATCAGTCCGAGTCCAGTCCGGCAAGTACCACGAGAGACTGAGTGCACCATGGGCCGATGGAAGGGGCAGACCAACGAGCTTCAGAAGTATAATTCAAGAGGCAGCGCCCAGTCATTCATTCATTCCTGCGTGAGCCATGCGGAAGCGCTGCCACAGCGACTTGTGCAAGGGGGTCTGCGATGAGCCTGAGGACGAAGTGGGCAAGGAAGACAGAGTGCGGCCATAGCTATAGGGTAGTAGTAGCCATAGCTGCCCTAGCTGTAGTTTAGTGTTCAGCGTGTGTGTGTGTCAGCGTTCAGAGAGATACAAATGGGATATCCAGGGTGATCCGGTGCATGCGAACAGAGAGTTGTTTGGTCGCTGAGCCGCCATAGCCCTTGAAGTGAACTCATATCAGGGTTGTTATATCTTTGAGTTCTGAGTGGGCGCATGTCGCTAGTTTGCTGCGCTACTGTTGCGTGTATGCAAAGTAAGGATGAAAGGTAGTCTGATTGCAATTAATTATCACTTTCTTTTCCTTCTTCTCCCCCCCCCCCTTTTTTTTTTTTTTAAAGCACGATCAGGCTTTCTATCTCAGATTGAAGCAGAGTTCCACCAATCACAGGGCAGTACCACCTAAAACCAACCAGAGCAGGACCAACCCTGCGGACAAGCATACTAACAGTCGAAATACAGAGTCCGATATACTAAAGATTCTACCACGAAATTGCGGATTTAACTATTCCAGATAAAAGCGGGACCAACCCCGAAAACAGATAAGCACCGATCCAGCGATTTGCAAAATCCGAACAGCTAGGCTACCAGACTAGGACGGGACCAACCCCGTATTTCAACAGTGGTAATCCAGAGGAAGCCTAGATGCACAAAGATCTTGACCATCTAAGATTCAGCGGAACCAACCCCGCTGATCAGCCAGATGCAAAACAGAACAGCTAGGCTACCAGACTAGGACGGGACCAACCCCGTAATTCAACCGTGGTGATCCAGAAGAAACTTAGAATGCACAAAGATCTTAACCATCTAAGATTCAGCGGAACCAACCCCGCTGATCAGCCAAGCATCCTGCATACAGTCTTCAGAAAAATAAGTTACCAACTTAACAGTCTTTTAATTAAGAATTGGACCGAACCCCACCTTGAGAGCATAGAATAACACAGCTACTTACAGATCATGCTGCGATCACAGGTTTGAGAAAGTTCAGACTTATTTTAATCCTCGGAACCAACCCCGCCCATAAAGGTGCAGTCCTTGCAATACCCTCGAGTTTTCCCTGTTGCTGAGATTATCGTGGCAAAAAGCTGAGTTTTATCGTGGCAAAAAGCGACATTACTGCTTTCCTCTCGCTTCCCAATCACACGTTTCCCCCCCCCCTTTTTTTTTTTTTTTTTTTTTTACCCTTAAGAAGTGCGCCTCTCCAAGCTTTAACATTGCAGTAGTAACCTAGCATTTGCATAGCTTCTCCTTCTTGACTAAATAAAGTTGGCCCAATAATCAATTCCTGATCAAGTTGAGCAGGGTTAGTTTCTCCGTGAGGTGGAAGTTCCCGTAGCTTCTCCCCTTTCTTTTTTTTTTTCTTTTTTTTTGACGGCCTTCTAAGATTTAGCTTCTTATTTACCCTGTTACCAAGCCCTTATCAAATAGCCTGAACTTTTTAGCACAGAAAGCTCCTATCCCTTCCGCGTGACATCCCCCAGTGATTCACCCTTTGAGTACTGATGAGTTCTACTTACTACTGGGATGAATTGAGTTCCCATTCTACCCTTTCCCCGAACTTAGAGCAAGGTAGCTTTTCCTATACCTGACACCATCTCATGAACTAGTTTCGCTTCTAACTTACAAGGGTATCCAAATAAATTTAGAGGCTGCGTAATTATTCCTTCGAACAGTGCTGCCTGGTATTATTGTAAGTAAAATAGAGGGAGCCGCCAACAATTGGTGTGACCAAACGATCCCCTCCTTTTTTTTTCTTTTTTTTTTTTTGGAGTTTTTTTCTTCAAGGTTTTGCTACAATATAAATATAAATATATTAATATCTCATGATATAGCCTTATATGACCATCAGAGTGCAGAGTGCGGCGACAACAGATATCAAATCATTTTTTCTCTTTTCTCTTTCCGCTTCCCCTGTTCAGAACCTCCTGCATAGAAGGCCTCCTGCGTAGATGCCTGTTGAGCAGCTGCTGCCCTTACCCTGACGTGCCCTATCAGCTTGCTTGCACACGATAAAAGGCAAGCCCAAGCCAATAGAACAGGGCTACAGAGCAGATTATAAACAACTATCCTTGATGACAAGGCCATATGCAAACACCGCCCCGTATATAAAGCTTTATTTCGTATATAATATTATTATTATTATTATTATTACGTTTTTTTTTTTTTTTTTTAACGAAACTCAGAAGTGCAATCCCCCCTTGCTACAACGGGGTCAGATCCCGGTTCGAATCCCAACGAGACAGATAAGTCAATAACAAATTGATTATAAGCTGCGCTGGTCAGTCTGAAGCTAAGTGAGATTCCGAGGCATATCGCCCTCTAAAAGGGAGCAAACCAACACGTGCAGTAATCAACAGAGATCATTTGTTACGTGTACCTAGACATACGCAAAAGAACAGAACAGAATCAAAACGCGGAACACCGGGGGCCGGGGGGGGAGGAGAGGGGAAAATTCAATGGAATCAAAGAAAGGAGTTTCAGCAGAACGAAGAAGTTTCACGACAGGGAGCAGAGAAGATCGGAGGGAAGGAAAGGGAAAGGGCCTCGCTCCTTATTCAAAACGAGAGTGAAACTTCCGCTGGAACATGGAAAGATACACCGCCATGAGCTTTTTTTTTTTTTTTTTTTTTGCATGTTGCTAGTAGTGCACCGATGCCCAATATTCACGACAGGTGGGGGCTAAGTTACGGCAGAAGGAAGAGAAAAGCTTTGGCGAAGGGTCTTCGAGACATCCAAGTACTGAAAGATTGGGGCGATAGAGAGAGTGAAGTTTAGCATGGGCCCTGCGCGCACGGATTGATGACACTCATCAATGGAGAAATGGTCAAGTTTCCCCTTTTTTTTTTTTTTTGAAAATAAGGGAAGAGTTGTTTCGACAGCCGTACTAAGTGTTTGGCAGGAAGAACAGAGAAGATCTGAAAACGGAAGAGGGAACATTCGACACAAGGAAGACACGATTTCGACACAAGGAAATCAGGATTTCGACACAAGGAGGCCGATTAGATTACACAGAAGGAGGAGACTAGAGTCGACCGCCGGTTTCTTGTGTGCCAGGCTATCCACAAAGCCGAACGAGAGATGCAACGGTACTGCGAAACGGTCTGACTCTTCTGTATTGCGCAAAACACAGAGGAAAAACCTGACACTATGCGAGGGCTAGCTAACACTGCTTGCCATCTTCTCTCAACATGATAGCTGTTAAACTCGGCTCATGCCCTGCTTGCCCTCAAATCGTGGGACTTCATGGAAGCACTACACAGCAATCAAAACGCACATGGTGTACTCGTGATCTACCGCATCCTTCATTACAAGCATAGCTTTATCCTAGGGAAGTTGCTTGACAGGTTACTGCTTATTTTCTCGTCACTTCGACTGTATTTCTTTACGACAATACATCGATCAGCCGATCCTGTTATACTACTCACTTCCTTCACTACTCTTACTCTTCCCTTTCTTACATCTTTCCCTCCCTCCGACCTTCCCCCTTTTGTCTTTTTTTTTTTTTTTTTTTTTTTTTTTTGTATCTACAGCGATGGTCGCTCTTATCGAAGTGATGGCCTAGCAAGTCTTGGTGTGGCCCAATAGCTTGGTATACAACGGAGGTGACCGGAGTAAACAGGGAGGTAGGGGTTCCAAAGATGACAAAACGCACCGTATTCCCTACACACTTCTTCCTACACAAGCTAGCAAGTGACTGACCTACGAATCTCTTACTTACAGAGGAGGGCTGGGCGCACTGCTAATCAAGCTTCGTACTTGGTGCCTTCTCGCTGGCCAGCAAAGTCTTCCAGTAAGTCTTTTTGAGTGATTCTTCCTATGGAGCTTGGGTGCCTACCTTCCAACTGTGAAAAGTAGTACGACGATGCCTCTTCCTATTCCTCCCCTCTCCCCCTTTTCTTCCTTTCCTTTTTTTTTTGAGGCTGTGGCACTACGTGGAGTTCGAGTACGAGGAAATGAAAAAGGAGGAGTGGAATGTCAGATCCTCGTTCTTGAGGTCCAAACGACAATTGTTGGACGAGTACGCGGACAAAGGTCTCGACGAAATGTCTTGGAACGAGAGCAGAAAGTTCTTTAACGACAGCACCTACTTCAATAAATGCCCTCAGTATCTAGGGTGTCAACATGACAACAACGTCAAGAAAACCATTGCCCTCGTTAACGACCCACATTTCCTGGCGGAGTGGAAACGTGTGGTGCTACCAGTGATCACCGGAGAGCGCGCGCAAAGCAAAAAAGGCCCTTGAGGCATTGATGAATGCATCAACATTTTGTGGAGGAAGACAAGCGCCGTGACGACGCTGGCCCCGTTTGTCGTCGACCCATTGAATGCCATGGACCATAAGGGCGCGCTGGGAAAACTGGGCCATCAGTTGCGCTCCCACACTTGAGTGCTCGACTTGTGCGGAACTGTGGATCGGTCGCGCTGGGATTCTGGAGCATTCGTGTCTCTGAGTGAGTTCTTGGGCTTCGTTTGTCAGGAGTACTGGACATTGGTGGTATTCGTTCCCTGCCTGTGGAACCTCTCCTTCATGACATCTTTGTCTGCGCTTGGGGCTACCCGATGCTACACGGGGAAGTGGGTGTGCAAGACGCCAGCGAAGAAGACGCATTAGTACGGAAACAGCGTGTGGGAGGAGCCGGATGTTATGCACATCCTTTTACGGAAACAGCGTGTGGGAGGAGCCGGATGTTACGCACATCCTTTTCAAAGGCGAGGATCCGCGGCTCCTGACTCAGCCAGTGTACGAGGGAACCGTTTCCGAAGACGATGCCGCCGCTCTCCGGAGGAAGTAGAAAGTGACACCTACGGATGTGGAGGAGAAGCCTTTCAAGTCCTTGCATTTCGCGGACTTTGGGAACCTCAGCCGGAGGGGGGCTGTGTACAAGGAATTCGAGAGGAATCCTAATTAGTTATGCAGTCAACTTCTTTTCTTCTGTGGTGTGGCGGATGCTGTGTTGTTCTTGGGTAATCTGCACGCGCAGGTGGTGTGGAATCTGCTTCACCAGGGAAGGCACGTCTTGGCCTTGAATATACTGTGCAGTTTGTTGACCATGAAGTCCGGTCCGGGGCTTACGCGTGCGTTTTCCACCATGTCATCGTCGAACCCGTTTACGACCTGAGTAAGGACATGTTCTTCAAGTTGACTCCGAAGAAAAGGTGCCAGGTCTACTCCTTTCTTTTCGGCTATCTACCGAAGTATAGGTTTGACGAGCAGTACTTGATGCGAAAGCAAGTCGCTATTGCATTCCTCCAGGGCTACTAAGGGGCGAGTCGCAGCAGCGCAGTGGGCTTCATGAAGAGGTTGGAATATTTCTTTTTCGATGAAGGTGTGGCCGATCCGTCCGACTTCACTTTGGACAACTACAGGCTGGCATTTGGTGAGGACGATGACTTCAATATCGGGACTGAGAAGGGGGAGAACATTGAGGACGACCTCTTCAATTTCGATGACCAATTAGCCATCTTCAATGTCCAAGTCGTTTCTGAGTCGCCCTCAGTATGCAAACCGGGGACACCGCTCGCTACACCCACCTCAGGCGGTCCCACACCCATGTCCTCCTCAGCGCCTCTCAAGAGGGGTGGGTTGTCCCGTCTGAGGACTTCGTCGGGGGAGCCACTACGTCTCACACCGCACCCCGGACATCTACAACCGGCCAACCAGTTCCTCCTTACCATCCACATCTCTTGGCTCCTGCACAGCCCTACCACATGGGTGACAAACACACCTTCTCCAAAGCTGAAGATTGGGGCCATGACGTCGTGTGGCATCCAGACCATTCCCAGCCAGTCCTTCTCGACGGTGAGTGGGCAGTGGCTATGAGGGACATGAGTGGAGGGTGGGAATATGATGATCGTTGGGACCTTGAGACTTTCAAATCTCGAGCCTACGAAGCGGTATTGGACAAATAGAGTGAGGTCAATCGACGACGTAAGGACGACCCTTCCCTAAGGGCATACGCAGACTCGTTGTTCGATTTATTGCAGTCGAATAAATGGTTGGAAGTATCCTCCGCGTTCTACAGCCTTCCGTCGAGCCCGTCATTGAATCAAGTAAGTTGGGAGTTGCCTGCGCTCACCCTGCTGGCTGGAGTTGTGGTGCGCAAGTCTCGCGGAAAGCCTCGCAGCGGAGAGAAGACAAAGCATCACAGAGGAGACGGGCAGGGGTCCGCCGTCGACGGCAATGAGGACGGTGCGGCATTGGCGGTAACATGCAGCACCTCGATGGAGACGGAAAACGACTTCAGGCCTGGGTGGGCGCAGTGGCCTGGCGAGCAGGACTCTGTCATTAACTCTACCAGTGCGACACATTTTATCGATACGGTTGGCGAGACAGTTGTTGCGAAGGATGGCACTTGCCCATCTCAGCTCCAAACTCAATTGGCGGATTGTCTCGGATCAATCCGAACTATAGAAACGACGTCGTTGTCCCGAACTCAATGCCTTGTGGGAAGCGAGACAACAACATACCTTGGGTCCGACCGCGACAAGCTGGAACCGTTTTCCGTTTCGCCACATCAGGAAGTTCGGATTAATCCGAACCTGGAGGCCAATGTCGTCAAGAGAGCACAACGGTCCACGGAACACGAATGGACGTTCCGAGTTTCCGAACGCCCTGCCGGCGAGATTCGGATTGATCCGAATCATGAGGACGTGTCTACAATGGCAGTCAATTAGTGTAAGAACGCCGTAATGTTGTGCATGGAAGTCCACAAGGAGCTGCAGGCAGACTGTCCGTCTTTCGTAGTCGGTGTTCGAGACAATGCCATGGAGTCCCTTGAGGGTGAGTTGGCGCCCAGCTCCAATGTCCAGTCTCGCACACTGGGAGAGTGATGCCCGGTTACGGTGCGTGCTTCGTTAACGGTCTTAAGCGACTCTGCGGTGAAAGCGGACACGTCTGCGCCATTAGACTCTGTCGGGGCTCGGATGAATACGAACCTGGCCGATGTGAGCATGCCCCTCGATGATGATGCTTTGGAGACGACCGTAGTTCGGATGCATCCGAAGCAGACAGACGCTGGACTCGAACTGACAGGCGTGGAGGGTTGTGGACAAGTCACGACTTTCGACAAAGCGGACGGGTCCTCGCCACTGTATTCCGCTGAGGGCCAGATTGATCCGAAGCCCGGCGACGTGAGCATGCCCCACGACACTTCCGGAAATGAGATGCGGGCCGTTGACTTGGACCAACGACTCGGGCCGGGTTACGAGGACCTCTTGTACTCTGGCCTTCACGGCGAGGCTATGGGAGAGGATCTTCTGAAGAAGGCCTCTGACACTGTTGAAGATAAATTGTTCTACTTAAGTGACGACGACGAAGACACAGTGCATGAGGACAAGAAGTTAAGGGGGGAGGAATTGTTGTTTGACATCCACGGAACCTTGAGCCCGACACAATACGACACTGTGGCAATGGAGAAAACACAACCTGTCAATGTTGTGGACCTTGACGCTCTTAGTTCAGAGAAGAGTGGATTAAAATTGTTCGTCGCGGACGTGGAGGATTTGCGCCATCGGGAGGAATTTATGTCGTCACCAATCATCGACGCCGACACCTCCAACCTGTCAAGTTTTCCAGATGGTTTGGAGCACGTCATCGCGGTGTCGACGCGAAGAGGGTTGGCATCGTGCTGGGACTACCATCGGTGGACTCTGGTGACGTGGAAGCTAAGCCTGGTAAGCATTGAATTTCTCAGCTTGCTTTCTGCTCGTCAACCCGTTCTTGAGGTGTTGTTTTGTTCTTTGCTTCCGGGGAGTTGTATTGACAGCCGCCAACTGAACGTTATCGTTGGGGTTCATGAGGTGCTGTTTGCTTCGTTACTCTTGCGAAGTTGTGTTGTTAGCCGCAACTGAACGTTATCGGTGGATATCTTAACCGACGCTTATTGTAGTCGAACATGGTGTGCTATTTCTTGTACAGGTCGACGAACTCGTGGACAAACACACATGTTGCAGGAGCCGGCTGCCCCCTCGAAGTTGTCAGTCTTGGTTGCGAGAGGCAGGGTTGTCGAGCCCCAGCCCCGGGGCCCCGGCGGGGGTCCCGGGGGCCAGGGGTCAGCACCCCTGGCCCCGACAAAAAAATCAAAAAAATAATCAAAACAAAAAAAAAAAAAACACAGGGGGGTACGCAGCCGAAGCCTGCACCCCCCGGGCCAAACTGCAATATTGCAGTTTTGGCCCGAGCTCGGCCCCCCCCCGGGGCTACACCCCACCCTCGTGAGCCCAGGGTAGTGCGGGCGTGGGGCCGGGCGCGGGGCCCAGAGGGGTGCGGGGCCCAGCGGGGTGCGGGGCCGGGGTTGGCTGGCAGCTGGGGCGGGGG